ATCTATCTGCTAAACGCTTCACTGTGCTAGTAGTTAATCGTTTCTTTCTACCACTTCTTGTTGAGCAGATGGTACATTGGGTTTTTAGAGCTTTTTCGCACAAAACAGCTGCTTGCTGCAGCTGAAATTTACACTTAATGTCACAACTTTCCTGTTTTACTCAGACAGTCTTCCCCTCTGTCACTTCCTATAGCCACCTCTCACTTCTCCCATGTTTGTCTACATCTGTCAGACTAGCAGCATATCCTGGGTGTACCCAGCCTCTCACCCAGTGCGAGCTGGGTCCTACTCCAGCTCCCTGTGACTGCACAGCAGTTACAGTATCCTGATACAGGTAAACTGCCATTCACATGCCAAATGCTTCTACTAATATTTTTAATAGTTTGAGTGATTCCATTTGTCATTAGCAGTCTTGGACATTTCTCAAGAGGTTTGTAGGAGGAGAACTACAGTATATTGTGTCAAGATTGATTCTATTCAATGACGTTTATAGATGAACAATTACCAGTATTTACAGCACGCACAATAAAACAGCGTGAGAATGGATAGTTTACAGAATGGTTGGATATAAAGTAGCTGCACAGAAAGAAAGATGGTGATGATTTAAGATGCTATAGGGTGCAGTCAGAAGTAGGCCCCTGTCACCTCTTTCTAAACTAGTATTTATTTCAACCATAATTTTAGTGCTGTTAGGTAAGTGAAGAGCCCTTCTAAATTACAGATGTGCTGTGCCCATTGTCTCATAATCCATCCTGATTATCCAAGATGTTGTGTTTTCATGTCACACTGTTCATGGCTATGGGTTACATTATCACCCTTAGAGGAAACTTTCCTGCTTGTACACATGCACTAGTAGCAGAAGCACAGAGGTGAAGACACTGTCAAAGAGCTTTCATCATGTAGCTCACTTCTTCTGATGCTGAGCTGCTCCATCCATAGTTACCATGGTAAGCACAGTGAATGCTATTCCCTGACATACTATAGTCCATTTACACACTGTGGATGAACTGCCTGCACCTCTGGGTCCTCCGCTCTCCGTCTTTGTCTCTGCCAGTATTTCCAGCTGACCCCCTCTCTGTCAGTGGTGCGGTAATGGATTTACTCCTATCTCTCCGAGCACATTGGCCTTAGGCGAGGCAGCGGCTCATCCCATGATTGACAGCTGCTGATAGGACTCAAATCCCAGCCGAGAGCCTGTTGCCAGGGGCTACCGGGGGTGGGGGGGAGGAGGAGGGGGTTCCCGCATCCACGCAGTTGCCATGGAAATAGGGAGTTCAGCCATTACGCCTGCAGATGGCAACACTGCCCTCCAAGTCAGGAGGGAGGGATGAGTCCTCTTTGTAGGAGAGGTGAAATGGTTAGGAGGGAGGCGAGGCAAATCAGCCTCATGAAGAGCAGGATGTTGGTTTGCTTTCGTGGTTTGCATGTTCACCTTAGTCTCCTCCGGGTGCACGCAATTGCATGCAAGTCAGGTGGAGACTAGCCTATATCCCCCATAGGTTTCAGTGTGACTGTCTGCCAGCCAGTCATTGTGCTGCTGTTCATCAATTCATCAAGTGCTGTTTTTTTTTTTACATGATCCAATAAAATATTGTTTGTATGTTTTGTTCTATCTCATGAGACTGGAGACAAAAGTGTGTTAAACGACTGAAATAGATGCGAGACCATAACTGCAAGTCATCTTTTATAATATATATATTTTTTTAATAAAACAGTTGATTTAGTCTAGTGTTGCAGCTGCACATGAAAGATTTCTCTCTCCCTCAGTGCATGTTGGCGTGCCCTCAGCTGTAACACGGAGCATAAAAACACTGGCAGCTGAACCCTTTTTTGGTGGTAGGTGCAGCGCTAACCACTTCCATCTATGGTTGCATTTCTTATTTCCTTGTTTCTGCAGCATGCACATTTTTAAAATAGTTTTTTTTAAACACACAGACGTGCACGCCTCCTTAAATATGGCAGAAATTAGTGAAAAAGAAACCAGATGACAGTTGCATATAGGTGGATTACTCACACACACACACACACACACACACACCTCTCCCAGTGGGGACATCTCATTGACACAATGCATTCTCTAGCCCCTTACACTATCCTTAACCATCACAACCGCATGCCTAACCTTTACCCAATTGTAACCTGAACTCTAAAACTCAAGTCTTAACACTCAAAAAGAAGTCTCTACCCGTGGGTATCTCAATTTAATTTGGCATCAGTCCCCACCGGTTAGTGTGCATTCAGGTCCCCTATAAGATATAAGAACAAGTACACACACACACAGACTTTCAGCCTCCAAGTGATGATCAGTTCTGGCTGGCTGTGTGGGTAAAGGTGTTTCTCATCACCCGCTCTTGACAGTTCATCTTATCACTCATCACATCTTGGAGAGTCTTTTCTCTCCTGTCGGGAAGGAGGGGAGAGGTCATTGGAGGTCGAAAAAGCAGGGGTGGAATCCAAGTATTTCTCACCTGGGCGGGAAATACTGCAGCTGGCTCTCTGAAACTGAAAAGAAACTGTCTGACAGACTGACACACACACACACACACACACTCTTACTCAACCACTTTCACACACTCAATCACACACATCTCACGTCAGCCTGTACTTTCAATCGCAGGTCATCTCGTTTCTTTTGAACCTTGACAGACTGCTTGCACGCAGGCAGTTGTAATCAATGTGAATCACATCTGATAACTGGGAACAGCAGCATCGTATTTGATTTATTCAGCTCTCAGATCCGGTGTGAGACCCACCGGGCTGTGCACTGTGCAGCATGAGCGGTTCCCACTGATTTTTCAGCACATCGTGTTCTATATAGTCTGGAGTCAAACAAGGACACGATGTCTGAGAAATAATTTAATACGACCTTAAATGTGGATTAGTGCTGCAGAGGTGTATTTATAAAGATGTGCTCGCAGAGATTAAAGTCAGTTTGCTGTTGTGTTGTAGCTGAAACGCCTTCGTGATTTGAAAATAAGTGACATTTGATAGCTTGTTTCATAAATTCCGCTACATTTTAAACCGTAACACCTTAAAGTCTACACTCAGTCCTCACGTCTTGTCCAATAGACTATAGAGGCGTTCAAGAGCTGTCGGAAATCTAGAAATGTAGTGGAGAAAACTTGCAACATGCATCCGGAAATCAGGTCGGCTGAGTCAGTGAGCTCTTTTGAGTCCCTTCTCAAAACAATTTTTATAGGAGAGCCTTCCTGATTTTACTTAAATTTATTTTAATCTATTTTATTTATTTTTTTTTGTCTTTACTTTTAACGTGTGTTTTAGTTTCTTAAAGCATTTTGTAACTTGTTTTTTGAAAAGTATTATTATTATTATATAGGCTAGTATATTATTATTATAATTATTATAACGTTTATTTGATGTTTTCCTGTTTATGAAAAATCAATGAAACATCAAATAAGCTTCTCCATTTTAACTGAACCACAAGCGCACAATATAACTTTTAATAGACTACCACTGTGTAAAAACACTGTTATTGACACAGAGTTTTCATCATAATTGTTGTCAATGACTCCTCTGTTTTCAGTGACATCTTTTAAATTACTTCTCAAGAAATATCTTTTCAAAAAAGTGCATCCTTCCTCTTCTGTCTTGTCTTATATGTCAATTTTCACTGTGTCACTGTTGTGAAATCTTATTCCTTTTTAACTTTATATCATTTTAAATTGCTTGATTTAATTGTCTCTGTCTTGACATGTTTCTAATTTGTGTTCAACCATGTAAAGCACTTTGTAACTCTGTTTTGAATAGTGCTGTATAAATAAAGTTTATTATTATTAGGCTTGCAATCAGCCCCAGCGGTTCTCCTCTGTAACAACATTATGGTGGAACGAGCTACCACATGCAATCAGAGCAGGAGCGTCCCTCTCTAACTTCAAGAAGCTCTTGAAACCTCACCTCTTCCGAGAACACTTTCTCTTATAACACCTCTAAACCCTAACTCCTAACACACACCTCCTGTGCTCTTCTTCTTCTATCTCCTTACAATCCTCTTGTATTGATTGCACTATTCTTTAACTCTTACTTATTTCCCTAGGTATTTACCCCATTGATACTGTACGAGCTAATAGCTCTTACTAGTATTTATTGCTGCTCTTACTGGTATCTGTTGTCACTTGTAGATCTCTTACTGTATTTATGCTTTATTGATGCTTGTATGTTTTTCCTCAAATGTAGCCTAAGTCGTATTGGATAAAAGCACCTGCCAAATCAGTGAAAGTATATATAAAGTTGTATTTTCGGCGTGGATATTGTGTCGAGGCAGGTGGCCGCCCACCCTGAGTCCAGGTGCTCGAGGTTTCTGTCTCTTAAAAGGAAGTTTTCCCTTGCCTCTGTCGCCTAGTGCTTGCTCATGGTGGAAATTGTTGGGTCTCTGTAAATAATATTAGGCCTACAAAGATTGTGGTCCAGACCTGCTCTATATAGGAAGTACAACGAGATTAAGTGGCGCTATATAAATAAAATTGAATTGAATAAAGTTTCATTACATTACATTTACTCATTTAGCTGACACCTTTATCCAGAGCGACTTACAATTGCTTTACATGTCAGAGGTCCCACGGCTCTGGAGCAACTAGGGGTAAAGTGTCTTGCTCAGGGACACAATGGTGGATGGTTCACAGTTTCTTCTTCTTTGATTTATTGATTTATTGATTAATGAACTGGGAGATATTGTTACAGTACTAGATAAATAGGATAGGAGAGACAGTAGGCCAACTACATGTAAAAATATTCCACATTATCAAGTGGAGAAAACGCACAATTTTATTAGATGTTTTCACTTTTATGACAAATCAATTAAAACATCAAATAAGCTTCTCCATTTTAAATGAAACACAAACACAAAACATAATTTTTAATAGGCCTACCACCACATACAAACTTTCTAAGTCGTGGGATTCCAACACTGTACATTCCGAGCCTACCAGGGCCCCCCTGAAGGCAGCACAGTTGTGAGATCAGCTGATTTTCTACGCTGCCATTTTGTCCGGCAGAGAAGCTACCAGCCAGTAAGTCCGTACAGAGAGAAACCACTGGCGAGACTTTTTTTTTTTTAGACAGCAGCACAGCGCAGGTCGGGACCGTCGGTGAAAAGGGGAGCCGGTAATGTGGAGTCGACAGCCGGAGGACAGCAGCAACTGAGCCCGAGGACTGTGAAAGGGAAACAACCGAGCTTAGGGAGTTGTCTTTTTTAACTCAACGGTTCCGCCGGCTAACCCCCCGCTTAGCTACTCGGCTAACACCCACCGCTCCTCGCGTCCTTTCTCGCCAGGAGAAACCGCACCTGGCCCGGCTGTCAGTTTCTCCCTCTCCTCTTATAGACTTCAAACAATGTGCGGCTCAATCCTGAACGACTTTTCACGCCCGGGGTGGGGTTTAACACACACTTTGCCACGCCGCCAGTGATAGCTAAACGGTCCGAGCTAACAAGTTGACGTGGAGGAGGAGGACGATTGTTGTTCTTCAAGCTGTGATTTCAGACGGATTACTTCTTTTTTTGTTGTTTGTTTTGGTTTGTTTGCCTACTCCCGTCCGAGGTGGTCTCTCTTTGGTGACCCCCCCCTCCTTCTTCCTCAAGTGAACAAATCGTCCAGGTTACATACAAACCAGCCAGTTAGCTATGTTCATTTGTGGCCAGAAAGTAATTCCCAGTGTTTACAAATTCCACAGTGGGACTCTTTCCTGGTTCGAGTACTGCAACGGGAACATTAGCTAACACAGACTAGCTCAGATTAGTGTCGTCGTGGTCTGTGTACTACTAGATAGATAGGTAGGTAGGTAGTCGGATCAAAGTGTTGCCAAACAATTTAACTGCAAAAGAAGAACCACAAATCAGCTGTTGATTGTGGTTTTCATTGCAAAGCCAGATATTCCTGTCTTTTTTTGTTGTTTCCACCAGTGATTTGACTTTACTGCAGACGAGACTGCACAGGTTTCGTACGTACCTCTGTGTGTGTGTGTGTGTGTGTGTGTGTGTGAGAGAGAGAGAGAGAGAAAACTTAACAGTGGGTGTCTGATCGCAACCCTTTACCTCCTCTTGACAGTGAAGTCACGTTGAGTTGTTTCCCGCAGGGAGTTGATCCATTGATCGGATCGTTATTGTGCTATTTTAGCTGATTGCGGGGGAAACGCAGACACACACACGCGCACACAGACAGACAGAGAGAGAGAGAGAGAGAGAGAAACAGAAGCGATGTCGGGCCAATCTATCACGGATCGGATCGCAGCAGCGCAACACAGCATGACCGGGTCGGCCATCAGCAAGGCTGTGTGCAAAGCCACCACACATGAAGTCAGCGGACCCAAGAAGAAACACCTTGACTGTGAGTATATGTGTGTTCCTCTTTGGCCCTGTGGGGTTTTTTGTGTGTGTGTGTGTGTGTGTGTGTAGCCAGCCAGCTGCAGGGTTTCAAAAGCAGACATACCGGTCCTCTGAAGCTCTGGTACACACATTCCTTCACTCCAACTGGCTGCCTGGACAGCTTCAGTGAGTCCATCAGGAGGACAGGCCAAAAAATAAAAAAGACTGTACAGACCAGGTTTGGACAATGAGGAGATATCATCATGTGCAGCCTGTAAAAGGAGGCGGTGGTGATGCTGGAGTATACTTTTGTCTTTTTTGATTTTGTTCAGTCCCTTGGTATACAAATGCATGACAAGATGACAGGTGCCATTTTAAGTTACCAAAGTCTGAATGAGATGTCCCTAAAATTGCCAGACCAACAACCAAATATCCGTAAGTACTCGATTAAAGCTACAGATAATGATTTTTTATTATCTTTTAACCTGTCAATTACGATCAATGGATTTGTTTTGTATGCTTTAAAATGTTAGAAAGTGAAAATTCCCCATTAAATTGCCCCAAAGCCAAAAAGGTATAGTCTTTAAATAAGGGCTACAACCATTGTTTTCATTATTGATTAATCTGCACAGGATTATCTCAAATAATGGCTTCCTCCAATAAAATGTCAGAAATGCCCACGCCCATAGTCATTTTTCAGAGCTGACTTATTCAAATGGCTTTTTTATCTGACCAGCTGTCCAACATAAGAATCATTTTCTGTCGCTCATCTTATTCTTTCAGCTCTGCTCTCTCAAATACAATAGGCTAAACCCAAATTTATGACATTTTTAATGAGATAAAACGGTGAACAACACAGATGACAAAAACAACCTTTTTTTCACTGGACTGGCCGGATTGTGCTCACCTTATTTCCACGGAGAGACTAAAACACTTTTAAAGTCTCAGAAAACCTCATGTTTTCCTCCCTGGTAGCCTTTATTTTTGAGGGGGAATCCTCTCGCACAACAAATTCATGTGCACTGCTGAACGGGATGTCAAAAGCAAACGGCACATACAGCAAATTCCAGGACCTGAGTTGCCGGTGTTATTTCTCTACCTCCGTGTCTTTAGGCAGTTTATTCCTGCTTGTCGTCTCACATTTTGCTTTGATAATGAACAGTGGATTAAGGCCTTTAACTGCCAGTCGATCCCACTGCAATGAAACTGAGGCATGTTGAAGGCCGCGGTGACGCAAGTGGGACAACAGGAAGGAAAGGATGAATGAGTACATTTACTGAAAATCAGAAGGACTCGAGCAAGGCTGGGCGTACGTGCGTAATGGCGGAGCTCGCGTTGGACATTGCTGGGGTAAATGTGCTGAAGTTCTGTTTTACGGGGAAACCAGCCTTTTGTCGGCATGGGATGCACATGTTTGATAGACGCTTCAGCTCAGCTGCCTCACATCCGTCAACTCCTCCTCCTCGCTCACTCACAAGACTCAGCTGCTGACGTTCAGCTAAAGTCGTGTATTGTCTCCGCTCCTTTGTGAACTTGGACAGACCTTTACATCCAATACGCCACGTCAAGCTTAATCATTGCAGGTTATTGATTTCTTTGTGAGAGCAACGACCTCGGTGCCGCAGGGGGAACCGGCCAGCGAGTGGTGCATTGCATGAAGGCTGTGATTGTCATGTTATTTGTCTGTCTGATGATTTTCCCATGAAGGGAACATCCAGCGTCATCAGGCTGTCAGGTTCATTGTGGTGTTGATATTGTAAGGAAGGGCGGCCAGTAGGCAGGAATAAAAGCAGGTTATGGGGAGGGTCGTCATTCATTCAGGCAGGTAGTCAATTTGTGAGTCGGTTAGCGAGCTGGGGAGGCTGGCAGGCAGCGTGTTCGATCATTACTCAGTCAACTAGCCAGCCAGCTGATCCAACCATCCAGTAAGGTAAGAAGGATTGCCAGTCAGTCAGTCAGCCCTTTTCATACTTCAGCAGTAAAATGGTCTCATCACACAGCTCTTAACAGGTGTGAATGTACCAAGAAGGATACATTAAAAGCCAGAGGTGTTGGTCCAGACAGGCGTGGGTGTTGATATATATTGTAATAAATGCTAATGTGTCTCATCTGTGACCGCAGCCCTCGTCACTCTGTGACTCTGTCACGTAGAGTTCCCAGTGCAAATCTTTGGGGGATAATCAAAACATGATCTTTTTTTTAGCGAGTTGCATCTTTTAAAGGTATTTTAATCTCACAGATGTCTTCAGTCTGTCTGGAGTGGTGAAATGCTTCTGCGGGCCAAAAGCGACATTTAGATTCAGCATTTTCACTAACTGCCTCGTCCTGCCTGAACGAACGCAGCAGGCTTAAATCAAGAAGAAGAAGAATGATGTATAGTCGGTGGAAATGCTGTATTTACTCGTTGGAACTACACTTGGAAGTTTAGTATAGGGACCAAAACAATACTGTAGCTCGATCAACAAACAGAACGCTATTCCCAATAAGTTGCGTGTTCTGTTTGCAGTATCGCGGAAGCTAAAAAAACATTTTGACGCAAAGTGTGAATCGGCACCGATACATGTCAATATCAAGCACATTTGAAATTTGTTGTCGGCGGTGGTTACATGAATAACCCCAACTCCATGGACTTGAGCCTCACTGGTTCTGTTTTTACTCACAGTTTAATGCTGGTGCATTCATCTAGAACCGGACACCCGATCCCAATCAGAATCTCGAATTTCTGTGGCCATGGTACAAAGTATATTTCCCTCTGCCAACTACTGTAGTTCTTGCAAGTTTTATCTCCACCCGCTGTGAATGACCTAATAACTGCCAGAGTCTGCAGCAGTGTGTCGGAGCACTGACATGTGTTTTCAGAAACAGCCAAATGTGATGAAGGGAAGTGAAATTTTAATCGAGTTGTCAATTAAGATTTAAAATGCATTCGGATGAGCCAGAGCCAAACTGCAGTCCACATCCACACTGTAGAAACATCTGGAAACAAGATGCTACAGGTTTGAACAGGGTCGAGGACAGAAAGGGGGCAGTTGGCAGCTCAAACTGCCAGCTCGCTGGTGTGTGAGTCAGCTCACAAGTCCACTTGTTAGTGAGCTGTGTGTCTGCATCTGAGAGAAACCTGGAAACCTGACAGGCTTTGAGTTGGGCTGTGTTGCTAACTTTTGTTTGTTTTTCTTTTCGACATGTATTTTTCACACAGTCGGAGCCACCTCCACCACCACCCACACATACCCAAACCATCATCCCCCCCCCCCCCCCCCCGCCGGCACAGTTTCACCACCAGCAGCTGTCTGACAGCAGGCTGTGAATGATCTCACCGGCATATTTGCATCTAGACCCAATAACCGAATAACCCCAGCAGAAGCCTTTCAGCGCTGCCAACCAGCAAGCGAGCGAGAGTTTGGTGGGGTCGGCTGTTAGCTTCGAGCAGCCGGGACATTCACGCGCTGCTGGCGAAAATAAGTGCCGCTCAAAAGCCATTTAGTGTTGTGATTTGGACTGTCCACCTCAATTAACCCCAGCTTGTGAGTCAGCGGCAAAAAATATGACCGGTTCTTCCCGTAGGTTCGGAAAAGCCGAAGTCGTCGTCATAAAAAAATCAACGAGGAAGGGGGATACGCTGGGATATGTCTTGCCTATTGCACACTATGCCGGCTTGCACACTTTGTCGAGGGGAGAGCGGTTATGTGTTTTTATCCACCGTTTATTACTGTTAACTGACGTGCCACGGCGCGCACACACACACACTGGAGGCCACTTCTTTCCACTTTGGCATCATTAAAACGCAGATTGTTTCACCATCTTACAACTGTTGTGACATTTAAACAGAAGTCTCATTTCCCCTTCAACGGCACCAGCCAACTGGCCTGTGTTAAATGGACTGCAGTTGACGGGGAGAAGCAGCACGGTTAAATCGTCCTCAGCCTCCGTACTGGTGCTGTTTTCACAACCTTTTGTTAATGCGGTTGAAGCCGGGTGTTGAGCGTTTCCTAGAAGCAGTTAATGAGACTCTCATGAAGCTTCCCAGTAATCCAGGTAATGGAATATCTACTAATGGTAAACAAAGGCAACAGGAGGACTTACTTCCTTCCATTTATCTGTAAAAACTTAGGGCTGGTGGGTATACTCTCCAGCACTTAACCTCTGTGAGCGGTTCACACCTCGACATCACGAGAGGCACGTTGTGGTGCAGTCACATAAACGGAGGTGTGAATGAACTGATCGGTTGATCCAGCCTGATGTACTGTTGATGGCCCTTCTTCACGCCTCCTCTAAGCCATCTGTCTTCTCTGTCCAAAACGTGCCCTTAGATGTCTTTGAAGGAGGGAATGAGAGGAAGTGTGTGTGGGAGGGGGTTGGTGGATGAGAATTGAGGGGGAATCAACTTTGGCAGGGTGATTCAGAAACAAAACTGCATGAAGACCTTTTCCCTTTTTGATGACTGATATCAATCTGTTGCTCAGTCCAGAGACACCCTGGTACGAGAGTAGAGCAAGCTGTGGTCACAAACTTCAGATGTGTTTAAGGTGACGTTATAATGCTGGTTAAAGGTGTATTCTTTAAACGAAGCTCTTCTCGGATGGTGATCTGAATCACCCCTTCCCAGCATCTGAATTATAGGGGCTGCCCCTGACAATCTTTGTAACTTTCCAAACCCATCAAGCCCCCTTCTTCTTCTCCACTTCCAAGTCTTCACACAGCTACTTCTGACACTCTTCATGTGTAAAAATGAGTTTCAACACTGAGAATACCTTCGAGGAGACACTGTGGCACTGAAACTGTGCGCTGTTATCTCAGTTTGAATGGTCATTGCCCCTCCCTGATGGTAGGCTTTTCACCCCACCTTTTTGAGTGTGACCGTTTGGAAAACCTTAAACACACAAAAAGAAACCTAGTGGATGCACTAGTTTGTTTCAAGTAGAGCTGCAACGATTGAGCAATAAATCGATTAGTTGTCAATTATTAAATAACCATTTTTGTTATCAATTAATCATTGTGAGTCATTTTCTAAGGCAAAAATCC